CTCAGGCCCCCCGGGGGGGTTCCGTATTTTAAAACGCCCCTAAAAATTTTTTTGGAAAAAAAAAAAAAAAAAAAAAAAAAACTGGAAACATACATATATAAGACGCACCAAGCAATAAGCCGCTGGTATCTCCGCCGCTCTCGGTTTTCCACAAGGAGGCAGCAGAGGGCTGCGTCCTTAATAAATCTGCTATTAAGAACACAGCCCTGCGTCTCCATGGATTCGTTCACGCCGAGCTTACGCTTCAACTTAAAAGTGGCATAATTTGAACTTCTTCGTGTGGTTTCCATGATGAGGGGGTATGAGTTTGAAGAAATTTCTCCGTCGTGCCTACTGCTAGCATGTGCTTGTTCTAAATGAAAATCAGTGCTTTCTTCTTTGATTTCCAATTTTAACTTCCAATGATTCACTTCCTGGTACAGAGCCCCCTGGTGGTGGAAGAAAAATCCACAGAAAAGCCGCACCGGGCTGTAAGCTGCGTGGTTCAAAGCGTGGGGAAAAAAGTAGCGGCTTATAGTCCAAAAATACGGTAGTAACCACAAAGTTACTACGGTAAATGTTAAATGCATAATCAACCGATTATTTTAAGAAAAACACAGTGAATCACTTAATAGAACTTGAGATAATCAAACAGAATCTTGTTTGGTTTTGCATTAGGTGGACTGTGGCAGTGACGGGAGTTTATCCTGTAACCGGCGGGTTGCTAGTTTGGACCCTGTTCTGCCTAGCTCAGTCCAGGACTGCTGTACAGTAAGTGACTTGTGAGTTGCAATCAGCTAGAATGCTTAAATCAGCTATTTAAGTTGTGCTGAATCCAGGTCCTGTCGTTATATCACAACATTTGCTGCAAGAATTTCTAAAAGGCGTCAGTGAAAAGGCATTAAATATCTGATTCTGGAGTTGCAGCATCTGTGGAAATAGGTCAGAAACTTTTGGTTCTAATGCATTTTTGACATGTTTACTCTTTTGACTTGACAAGCAAAGTTGTAAATGGGCATTTTTCTCATAATTCCTGCTGTTAGGGCACAGGAGAAGCCAAGATGTTTGCTGAACAGCTGAGACTGTTGGGGAATTGCTGTGTTTGGAATATTAAACAAGTGGAAAAGTCATAGCATTTAGTCAGGAAACCTTAGTATGTCAAATGTTGGTTGGTTGCTGATTAAAGTCCGAAGAGATTTTTA